TCACTTCTGGATTATTGAATACAGAAGGATAGATGGTTTTCATATTGCCTCTCAATCTTTTGATGCGCGATTTTAACATACATCTGATACATTTAATCCATTCTGACAAAGTGTCAAGGTCTTCTTTTTCATGTCTGGCCCATCGCCTGGCGTAGTCCTCTACAGAATTCATAATATTTATGAAATTCTTACGCCAGTTGAAGGATCTGGGTTCCCTAAATTTAGGACCTTTTAAAATTAGTGATCTAAGATCCTCATTATTAACTATATTTACGTCACCAGTAATAACGTGTCCAGCAGGACTATAGTTATAGGGCGAAGAAGAACATGAACACGATGGAGGATTATGTTACTCCTCTTTGATGATGTGATATATGACGTCACTTCAAGGCCATTTTCGTGATATGATAATAATAGTCAGCATCTTCAATAGTTTAAACTTTGGCTTTCATAGAGAAACAAGTCAAAATAAGGGAATATTCAGGTTTGATGTAAGCTGTCTGCAAATTGCACGATTAACTCACCCTACTATAGTACAACTTTTTTCTACCAATACCAAGGTAAGATGGGGATGCCTATGATTATTTTAAATAGATTTATCCCCACTTTGAACTACATGCACTTTGATACATGTACTTCAATTTCTTCTAATTCAAAAATAATTCTAAGTCCTAAGAGGATGTTAATTTTTAAGTTTTGAAAACTTTGTATGTACCATATGTAGAATGCACGTAGCTCATATACTAGTACGTATTTGGAAAGAAAATATGCTGTTTATTTGTATATATTTGTAGAATTTTGTGTGTTCGTGCGTAAACTTACCTCTGTTACCGATTGCTTGTGATCAGGCTGTTTTCCTTCCTGACCGCACAGATCATAAGGAGACATGTTTAATTTCCCCAATTCATGATGGATGGATGCCCTTTCAGATGACAGTTGTCGCATGATGATTTGGTGATCGGATTTCCCGGGATACTGTTCGCCGACAGTGTTGTTGGTTTACGTTTTGGATCATTCGGTTCATCCTATTTTTGAACGAGTAATACGGAAAGGCTATCTCTGTCTTCACCTAATCGCACCACTTTTTTTGAAAGCACGCGGCGCGGCTGTAACTGGGTACGTCTTTCCGAACTAGGTATATTATATGCTGGTCTGGGTACATGGTTCATAAGTTTCCGGACCTTAATCGTTTCGGTGTTTTGAGTTGTGCGCAAAAGTCCTCCAAGCACTGTTATTTCATTTTAGCTTTCGCCAGGCGCTCGGCACTTTGAAGTGAAAGTTGCGGGTCCTTCGAATGAGACCTTAAAAACCGAGGCCCCGTGTCACGGCAGGCGTTGGCACGATAAAGATCTCTCATTGCTCGATGGCCCTGAGTACCGAGTAAAGGTCCAATTTTGAAGCCTTTCACCGGCACACGGTGACGTCTCTAAATGAGTGAAAATTTTTCGAATGGGACGTAAAACAACATACAATCAATCAATCAATCGTACAAAACGCAGACGCTCTAACCACTGCGCCACGCGGGCGACTGATATGTTTGATATTGCCCCAACTGTGATTTAAAGTTTCAAAAATCTGCATTAGTGAGGCTGAAAAAGGGGAATTTCTCAAAGAATCTATGTATTCTGATCAGGAAATATATCTTGTCCAAGCCTTTGTAAATTACCCTGATTACCGATCTCGTGACCCTTGGACTTGACCTTTGACCCACTTTTCAAAGTAGTTCATAGATCTGATATACTGCATATTTTTGAGATTTTATAGGGAAGTTGATACTATTTAGCATGTGCACAGTTACTCATAAAATATTATGAGAAAAATACCAGGGTAACAGATCATCTGACCTTGGCCTTTGACAAACTTTGCAAAAATACTTTGGACAATTAATTTAACTAAGGTGTTTTGAATTTTTAGAGGGAGGGTTTTGATTCTTAGCATTAATATCACGTTTATAAACTCATGGCACTGTACTTTGAAAATGTATCATATACAATTACCACACAAACTGAAATTTAAATACAAGGAAAATAAATCGGAATCGGTATACCAGAATGGATTGTTACAGACTGACAATTGCAGTAAAGACATTTGGATGATTGTTGGATTAAACACATAATGAAATGATAAATAATTATTTCTATTGATATCAATTTCATTATTCATATTAGCTTTATGGGTATTTATATTACGGATTCTATCAAAGACTTCCTTTTCATTTTTTTATGCAGACAAATGCATGAACTAAGTAACAAATAAAGAGCTGACCTCTATCAGTTTTATTTGCATTTTTAACGATGCTATAAAGAAGGTAACACTAGCGTTCCTTGGAATACTCTAGCTTAGATTGTTGCCTCTCAAATTATGAGAGAAAAAAATTTTTGAATCCCCACGTCATTCCAGAATTTCAGGTCAGGGAGAGATAAAACATTCGAGTCTGTCAACGGAAGGTTCCATTGGTCTAGCTTGTCAAATGTTGTTAAGGTATGGTGTCAATCATATGATCTTCATGCACGTAGAAAGTCAGGTCCAGGGTTTGGAAGGTCTCCAATTCAGTTTTCTCTCCTTCCGTCAACAAAACTGTTAGACAGAATTGCAATATATGTTTTAGGTGGTTAACTTACAAAGAATAATGTAAATGTGTATATCATTGTTGAAGGAGACAATTTTTTTTCAAAATGGAAAGAAGCATATACTGGAGCTGATCATACTGCCTTTACAGTTGCTGACAAACATGTTACTGAATTCATTTCACATTTTTGGTATTCCAAATCAAATCCATACTGATCAAGGGAGAGGATTCGAAAGTAAACTTTTTCTGAACTATGTAAACTTCTAAGCACAGAGAAAACAAGAACTATTCCATAAAGAGTACAATCCGATGGCCTTGTTAAGCGCTTTAAGAGGGAGAAGGACCTTGAGCTGAAAAAATACTTGTCATTCAATTTTTTTTATATTTGTATATTTCTAAATAAGTATGTCCCATATATCTTAAAGCAGTTATATCATTAGGTTTCTTACCTTATTTTAGAGATGTTGATTGACAATTACTATGCCCTACACTATATCAAACGAGGGAAGAGATATGGATGGATCTCTAATAAATACAGTCGCCCGCGTGGCGCAGTGGTTAGAGCATCTGCTCTAAAGTCGCGGAGTAAGGAGTTGATCCTTACGTCGCGGGTTCGAATCCCACTGTGGGATGTGGAGACCGGTCCTTCGGATGAGACCGTATAAACCGAGGTCCCGTGTCGCAGTAGGTGCTGGCACTTAAAAGATCCCTCACTGCTCAATGGCCGTAAGTGCCGAGTATAGGACAAAATTTGCAGCTCTCCACCGGCAAGTGGTGGCGTCTCCATATGAGTGAAAAATTCTCGAGAGGGACGTTAAACAACAAACAATATCTGGTAACATAAAAGAGTTATAATATTTTAAAAACAGCTGGGCCCTATTCCGACACATACATGTATTACATTAGCATAATTATTTATTTCATAAAAAATCTAATATTTGTTGTACAACTGTTTTTCAGATAAACTTTTATGGAGAACTGTGAGTTAGAGATTTTTTGAGTCAAGAAGAAATGTAAGAACTGGAGAGGGATATTAGGCCTGTGTGGCCGGAAAGCGGGATACAATGCCCTGCAGACCACTGCCATACTTGTTTGACAAATTACAGGGTGAGCAAAACACATTGGCGGGAGGGAGATTCATGAAGACCGGATTGAACTTTACATTGTGATGTATAACGTTGTAGATATGCCAGTCACCGTAAAAACCAAGTTCGCATACATGGTCACCTATGCCATCAGGCGGATGTTATCCATGATGGGCCTGGTAGTAAGAAATTTAAAGATTCGGAACCCACGGCTGGGGACCATGCCCTTGCCTCCCATCTCCGAAGCGAGAAACTAATTTCAAATGGAAGCCACAAGGAAGAGGAGAGCCTTTGTGCAGACCCCGCTGACAGAATTTAAGTGTAGACAAAAAAAGTGGTAAATTTAAAGGTTCAGGAGATCAGTGGACGGAGACAGAGCCATTTTTATAACCAGGCCAGTGACAGGAAATAAAACAGAGACTGGAGGTAAAGATCACAAAGTATCAAACTGACTGTTTAGCCAAAGTTGGGCATGCGAGTAACTGATTGTTTTCTTTTATTATCTTATTTGTATGAAATTGATATAAATTTACATGTATTTATGTAACTATTTTGATATTTTTTAGTTTTTATGATTTCAGTTTCTGCTAAAATTTATTTATCTTATTTGTATGAAATTGACATAAATTTACATGTATTTATGTAACTATTTTGATATTTTTTAGTTTTTATGATTTCAGTTTCTGCTAAAATTTATATCATTAATATCAAAATAAATGATAGTATCGTTTATGTAAAGGAGGGGGGAATGTATCAGCAATGTACTTTGCCATAAGCGTTTGTGCCTTGTACTTTACATGTAAATGCTATCTCATTAATTTGCTGCAAGGTCTCTCTTTCGATTTGTAAAGGTGTATTATGTAGTTAACTAGGATTAATCGAAATATCGGTTAACCGCGATTCAGTATCTTTCGGTTCGATTCGGTACGTTTTTTCCGGATTTCGAATTGATTCAGGTTTGATTTTTTCATATCTAGATATGCTTTTGTTAGGCGCATTCTGATTGGTTAATCTAAAAGAATGATGACAATATGGACCCGGTCCACAATAAAAGGGTGAAGGTCAACCACTTTAAATATAGTGCATGTAAGAAATTGACATGTCTCACTTTCATTGACTACAGGAAGGACAAGTGGCAAATAAATGAAATTTAATGAACATAGAATGGTTGTTTATTGATTTAAGTTTACAATGATATGCAATAACATGGTTTTAAAGCATAAACTATGCACTTAGATGAGTATTGAATAGGGTTCGCCGATGACCATTATCGGTTCTAAATTTTACGTCGCTATAGAGCATCCGTAAAACGCTTTCTTTTAAAAAGACGCTTTAAAAGAAAAGAAATGGAAAACGAAACTGATCATGCTTATCTGAAACTTACCGTTCCCCAACTGAAGGAGGAATTAAGAAAAAGAGAAGCAACAACAAGAGGGAGGAAGGCTGACTTAATTGAAAGGTACGTATTTCTTTGCCGTAGCAGGATTATTTTTCATAGTAGTTTGAAAACATTTTGCTGGGCAGACGACGCTACCTACATGTAGATGCTCTACACACCGACGCTGTCAAATTCTTAGTTTCTTTCCTTGTACTTAAATACAATATGTTCAGATATGATGTGATATCTTGAGCTGCTATTTAGTAACACTTGGAGTCCCTTGTGGCAATGTATACATTATTTTCGGCAGAGATGTTTATGTACCGAGTAACCCCATAGGCCGGCGACTGGCCTACAATTCAATTCAATTCAATTAGTTTATTTACCAATTAAGGGCCTTCATGGGGCAAAAAGAAAGTGCATTGTAAATGAACATTTATATATAGTCATATACATGTAATACAATATACATACACACAAGAGAGAAAGAGTTGCATGATTGAAAGGAGAAAGACATAAAAAGAAGGAATAATTTATATGTGTACGTCTTGGCATCCTCTTTTTGTTTTACTTTTTAATATGAAGTAATTATAAATATTATCGTGTATAATTTATGATTATGATGAAAAATGATATATATATTTAAAATATTTTTGTTAGATTATTCTACATTGTTATCAATATTATTATAGGCTAAGGGCATACGACCGAAACAAAGATTTTAAGAATGAACCAATTCTTATTCCTGAGCCGTTAGAGGTGAACTGGCCTATGAGGGGATTCCAACAGCTTCAGGATGCTCATAGAGAAGATATTCCAGAAATGTGCATTGAACAGATAGACATGTATTTTGTACATAGATTAGCAGGTTTGTTTTTACAATTGCTTTAATAATAAATAATTATATAACTTACACTTTTAACTTAGTGTTCATTATTGTTCTGACTATTATGTGTTGGTATGCATTTTTTTCCCTCGTAATTATCATGAACTTGAACGATATTATAGGTGACAAACAAAGCACGGGGGATGTGAAGGCCATAGAAAAAGGAAGACTGCTCCTTGACAGTGAAAGGGTTCTGGCTGCTTCATATCTGAAACGAGGCAAAGCATTATTTTTCACGGGGATTGTTGGGGCAGCCATGAAAACAAGAGTAAGTTTATTGAAAAATGATACATGAACTAATGTATAGGAATACAATTTTATATTTTAATATCAAATATTGTACAGTATAAACTGTTGTTTACTTTTAATTTGATTTTTATTGTCAAATTGCAGGTAACATATAACTTTAAGATGAAGTTTGACAGATGTTCCGGAGACATCATGAACAGTCATTGTGAATGTCCTGCAGGACGAGGGCCACAAGGTACATGCAAACATCTTGCTGCAGTTGCACTGATGTTATTTTTTTTAGTCAAGGAAAAGGCCTTTGGATCAAAAGATCCTGCACGGAAAACCTACAGACATTTCACAAACCTAAACATGCATACTCAGGTAAAAACTAAAGTTTTCTTCTAAAAAGCAAGTAAAACCCTTTCATTATTTTACCAATGTACCTCACCTTGAAAGTCAATTTGATGGTGTAAATTCATATGTACCTCAGTATTAAGTCAGTTCAGCACTGACAAAGTGTTCAGTATGAAAGAAACATTTAATGAGCAATTACAAGTGCAGTGCTACAAAAGGTTGAGTAATCAATAAGTGGCAAGGAAATAAAAGTACAATACATGTACTACATTTTATGCAACTGTAATGAAAATCATTAAATTTTGTTATGATAATTACACTTTATTGTTTTCTAAACATATACGATTTTAAAATTCAGGATCACCTGTGAAAGCTGAAAATCTTACAAGGAAGCGTAAATTGAATGACGATTTCTTTGATGATCCTCGTCCTGAACATTTAAGAAATATAGCTGGTTACCCTGAAAGAGTTAGAAATATGGTTATAAACTATTGTTCTGAGACATCAGAGAATCTCGCATTTAGATATCTCATCAAGGGAGCAGATATCCAGGTAAATCATTCACATGGTTAGACATGCATATTTTGAAGCATTGCAGTTTAACTTAAAACTGTTCATGCATTTTCACTAGCTTCTCCCTTTTAGAAGTGCTTTTTGTTTTAATAGACAGCCGTGCTTGACCATGACTACTTTGAAAGACCTTTCACAGAATATTGGGTACAGCAAGCTGTTGAGGTAGTTTTTCCTTCAATCCTTTTATAAAAATTGTACCTTAAAAGATTTTCTCATAAATCTAACAAATATTAAATAATTATACTTAAATAAAGTTAAGATGTTCACATGTACAAATTAAATGTATGCAGTATTAAATTCAAAGAGCACATTGGACATACATTTGTGTTTTCCTTTGTAAATTTGTTTTGCAAACCCAGTGCAAGATACATGGGATTCTAGGTTAAAAATAAAATGTAATTACTTATTTATTCTATTAGTTTACTACAGATAAAGTAGTTGCAATTGAGGAGAAGACCCGTGGACAAGCTAGCTCCAAAGACTGGTTCAAGGAAAGGTCATGGCGAATCACTGCGTCTCGTTTTGGGGATATCTGTTTAGCTACAGACAGGAGGAATAAGCAGAAACTCTGTGAATCCATTCACCAGCCTTCTGCTGCTCTGTTTCGAAGTGAAGCTCTTGTTCATGGTCGTACCTATGAGGCACGTGCTATTAGGTGTGTAATGGTTTGGGATTTGGAAATTTTATCCATTTGAAAGCTTAATACTGACAAACATATACAACAAAAACTTAAGATGGGGGAATAGATTGGAAATTAATTAGAATTGAAGAGGTTGACCATTTATGATAATGTGGGGCTTACCAGTACTACTATTATTAGCACTGCTCTAGTTTAGGGTATCACTTTCATAGCTCATTTGGTAGAGTGCTGGTTTTGTCATTGAATCAAGCAGTGTCAGCTCAGTACTAGCTTCTGTTGATTATAAATTATTTTTATACTTTCTCTTTTGTCATTACAGGAACTTCGAGAAAGAAACCGGAAAAAAGGTTACAAGATGCGGCTTCTTCGTCGATAAGGAACAATCATACTTAGGTGCATCACCTGATGGCCTTGTTGGGAGTGATGCACTTATTGAAGTAAAATGCCCCTTTGCAGGACGCAATGAGAAAATCCAACCTGGAAAGCACTTTCCATTTTTGACAATAGACTCTTTGACAGGACAATATAAGTTAAAACCAAATTCTAAATATTATTTTCAAATACAAGGGCAAATGTATATTGCAAAGAGGAAATTTTGTTACTTTGTTGTATACATTTTGAAAGATTTGTTCATTCAGAATATAGATTTCGATCTTCAATATTGTGAGAATTCTCTTCTTCCAAAACTAGAATTGTTTTATGATAAATATTTCAAACCATACTTGTCATCCATATTGTGAGTTAAATTTACATGTTAAGTATAGTCACTTCCCTCCAAAATTTTACATGCACAGAGTTTACTTACTGGTCATGTACTTTTGAACATTAATCATAGGTTATTTGAGCTGTAAGTCAGATTAAAAAAATTAAATGATTAACATAAAGTATTTGCATTGTATAGATATAGAAAGTATTAAACCATTTTCTTTGATTTACTTTTTACTTGTTTTTTGCCACTGCAGTGGATGAAAAAAGATTAACATTGAAATCAGTTTCAAATTTTGTATTCAAGCACTTTTGTCTACAATACAATTTCTGAAATTTGCAATTGCAAAACACACGTACACAATTCTGGATGCCAAAGGAACCTTTGAAGATGGTAATTCATATTTGAGTATCTTAAAACACTTTACAAGTCCAATTACCCTTTCAACGTGTATGCGCTTAGAGGCAATACGTCTATCATGAATTACTTCAATTGGGTCGAGTTGACTCTTCCCTTTTAAAAAAGTTGGAGTGTTTATCTTGACATTTTGTACTGCAAAAAGGTCCTGGACCATAATGCCCCTGTCAGCCATGACGTTGTCGCCGCTGTTAAACTTTTCCGGGTCAAGTAAAGATGATCTTTCTATGATCTGTCGATCTGAAGTAGAACCACCATATGATGAAGATACGAAAGATACAGCACCATTTGGTGTGATACCTACCATTGTTTTTAGAGTGTTTTTATGTTTGTAACTAGACCAGGTAGCAGACTGGGACTCTAAAACAGATGGTTTCTGAATTGGTTGTTCAGTGGCATCTAATATAATTCGAGTTTTTGGAAATTTCTGTGAAAAATCAGCAGGCATATGTTGCTTAATTACATCCATAGACACCCAGAAAGTATCCTCTAATTCTTTCAACTGACAATACAAAAAATTGATCCATGTAACAACAAGTTTAGAAACTGTGGATTCAGAAATGCCAAAAAAAAAATGAAAGTTCAATATCCTCTTTAGCCTGCCGCAGTTTCATCAATACTAGAAATAACTGATCTTCAGGGTCCAATAAATTACATTTATAATTCAATTCATATACAGCTGGAACTAAAGAATGAAAAAACAATTGAAAATGATCAAAATGAATAAATCCAGTATAATATTGTACCATCTTGCTATTGAACTGAAAATGCTTAATAGAAAATTTCCCAAGAGTTTCAATGGCACATTGAACTTCCCTCTCAGTGTGGATGATGGGTTCCGGTTGTGTCTCCTCAGGCTCCATTAATGGACTTTCACTGGAATCAACAGTAACCTCTTCCTGGATTGTTGACACGTCCATCTCCATGGAACAGGACCCACTGGAGTGTGCGGTTGATTTCTCCTGCTGTTCAGTTCTCTGTCTCTTTCTCAAAGATCTTGGGGTATCCACCTCCTCATTTGCATGAGTTATTTTATCAAACTCAAAAATGGATGGTACAGCTGTGGGGATCAACAGACACCGCTGTCCTATCAAAACATTTGTAATAATTTAATTAAACCATGCCAAAGCACAGAATATATGCTTTCTTTTTATATGATAAAGAAAATAATTTCCTTATTCATGTTATTAGATTGAATTATTACAATTTCAAAAATACATAAAATACTCACTTTTCTACTGACATCCTGAAAGGAGAAAAAAGAAACCACAAAGCAACGCAAACGAAATTGAACAAACAACAAAAAACAACTTTCATCTTCATGGACATGAAATCACAATTAAAAACAACTCTTAAAAATGATTCTCAACAATTAATATGATGAAAACGTTTATTTAAAACCAAGTAAATAAATCGTAAAACGTACCTGACTCAGTTTTCCTGTAATCCGATTCTTTGAAGTGAAAGTGGCAGACAACGTCCTCTTTGCCTGGACTCCATAAGTTCTTGGTTCTTGCGTCAACACGACGGATTGCAATTCTCCATTTAAGAAGAAGATCTTTGTCCTTCGGAAATCTGTGCCCATTGAACCTGCCACAGCCTGGAACACAGCAATACCGAACCATTTTGGGTTTTTTCGTCAGTAAAAAGGTGTTTATTTTCATAAAGCGTCTTCGCGACAAGAGTTAAGCGTCTCGGACGTACCCTATAGCTTTATAGTAAAATTTAGAACCGAAGACGGTCGTCGGCGAACCCTATTGGGTAATGATTTGGCTTGTTTGCACTTCTTTTCATCATGCATCGCTATTTAAAGAGCATGACGTCACAAATTTATTAAGACAGAAGAAAAATGCCAATGGACGCCCCCCCTTTCTTATTATGTATGTGTAGTGGACAGATTGTTTAAGCACATGCTGACTTGTTTTTTATTGAATACTGCTTTATAAAAATATTACAAACGAAATAAAACACGTGTTTTTACTATATAAATCTATAGGACCGGGTTCATATACGCGAAAAATCGAAAATGGCCGGGAAGAAGTCAGCGGTATTGGACAACTTCAATTTTCTTACAAAAGATGGCATAGAAGATAAGAATATCACCGTCTGCAACATTTTTAAAACGGAAATAAAATACCTTTCTGGAAGCACATCTATGACTGCTCATATCCTGCGATGGCATGGAATCACGTTATCTAGATCAAAATGTGAGAAAGTCAAGCAACCATTGCAACCATTAACAGGACAACTTCGTTTATCAAAAGCACTTGGTGTTAAAAATAAGTATTCCGGATCGTCAACAAGACGTCCAGATATTACAAGATCCATTGGGGTTTTCATAGCAAAAGACATGAGGCCGTTCTCCGTCTTGGAAAACAGGGGATTCGTTGACATGATACGTGTACGTGATCACAAATGTGACATGCCAGGAAGATCTCACTTTTCAAGAAAGGTAATTCCAAAATTGTATGACGAAACAAAGAATAAGGTTTCTCAAGAACTGAAAAATTCTGAATTTATTGCACTCACAACAGATTCGTGGACATCACATGCTACTCAAAGTTATAAAACAGTTACAGCCATAGCCGTAGGAACCGGGGGGGGGGGGGGCACTGGGGGCCGCCCCCCCCCCCCCAATAATTTTGCCGATATATAGAATACTATAGTAAACATAGATACTATATGATTGTGCCCCCTCAATAAAAACGTCTGATGACCTTTTTTTTTTTTTTTTTTTTTTTTTTGCTTGTCAAGGAATTGTTGGTAGTGCCCCTTCAACTGTCAACTGAAAAATGTTTGGCTGTCCCCCCCCCCCCCCCCTAAACGGAAATTGCTTCCTACGGGCCTGTCAGCGTACTTTATCCAACCTGAAACTTGGGAAATGAAAGTTTATGTATTGTAAACAAGGGTTATGCACGAATCTCATACATCTGAAAATTTATCTGAACTTCTTGAATGTGCAGTAGCAGAGTGGGATTTGAAAAGATATGGACATATGCCATCCCTTACTACAGACAATGCAAAAAAAAAACATAATGAATGCTGGAGAATTAGCTGGAATGAAGCCTCACAAAGGTTGCGTTGCACACACAATAAATTTAGCAACTCAGAAAGGTCTACAAGTGCAACAAATGGAAAAACATTTAGCAAGGATTAGAAGAGTTGTAACTTACTTCAACAAAAGCTCAATTGGCATGTCTTATTTGAAAAACAAACTCTGCTTGAACTTCTAAAGCATAAATTAATTATGGACGTGTCTACGAGATGGAATTCTACTTTTGGTATGTTAGATAGATTTTTAGAGCAACAACCAGCTATTGAGGCTACACTTATGGTCAGAGATCTGGAAAAAAAAAAGCTTTAAAGATATATAATCTTTGTCTAAGGATGATGTTTCAGCAGCTCAGCAAGTTCTGGAAGTTTTGAGGCCAATTAAAACAGTCACCACCATACTTTGTCATGAATCTTCATCAACTGTTTCTTTGATTCATCCACTCAAAGAGATGCTGCTGGGACAGTTGAGAATAGTAACTGATGATGATGACCTTCTTGTTACTGCAGTGAAAACAGCAATTTACAGCAACTCTGAGCCCAGGTAATTTGATATCTTACTTACCACTGAATTAATTTATGTCTTACTCTGTACTAATTTGTCTTAATTCCTAAACAATACCATAGTAATAAAAAAAATACCCAAACTAATAACTAAATGTTAGTAAACTGGTGATTATTAAAGTTTTATTGCATGTGTAATACTGGTTGTTGCATTTCCTTATTTTCCAGTTACTCGGGTGGTGATGTCAAGCAATGCCCTATTTGAGTAAAGATGAACGAGAAAAAGGTTACAAATCACTGGAGGAGAAAGTGATGGAGATCAACAGTTTAAAGACTAAATCTCTTGAGGTATTTGATATTTATTATTAATTATTATATTATAATGTAGAATTAATGTTCCAGAAATATTTTGGTTTAGGAAATGCTATACATTTTTAATTTTCATATACTGAAAACTAAACAATGCATGATTATTAATAAATTAAATTATTCCTAAGTCATTTTGTTCAGAGTTTTAATCTTATGATTTTTAAATAAGATGAAAGTTGAAAAAGTGGATGAGGAGCCCTCCAATCCTCCCTTGCCTTCTGGGTATGATAGTATATATATATATATATATATATATATATATATATATATATATATATATATATATATATATATATATCTTATATTTTTAATTTTATTCTAAGATAGAAAATCATTGATCTTTCTATTTACCATATCAAATTTTCTTCATATCATGATTAGACATAATATTCATTTCTGAAAAAGTAAGTAACGCTTCATACTTCAAACTATTTTTTCATTTGAATCTAATGCTATTGTTGTTGATGAAAATCAATGTTGGGAATTTAAAAAAACAAATTAGTGAAATTTTGAGCAGAGGGATATTTCACCTTAAATTCCCAAACAATGAAAAATTTTTAGGCAGAATTTTTTAATTGCACACCCCTAATTTCGACTTCTGCAAAACGTCTTGTTTAAAACAACCTAAATGCTCTCAAGGTGTATATTAGTTTTCTATGAAATTATTCAAATAATTTCTACTTTGAGAAGAAAAAAATGCCGGTGAAAGTTCAATATTGCTAGTAAAAAAAATTCCACTAGCT